CCAAAACTGGGAAGTGAAAAAATTAAAGACATTGCAAAATAGAGAAGAGTAGGGGAATGGCTATTATTGTGGGCTCACAGTACCTATCCTGTATTACTGCAGTATGAGAGCCTGAGTGCCCCTGTAGGCAGCTGTTCTCAGTCTTGGCACGCTTTGGGGATGTAGCAGACGCATGTGGACCTTGCAGTTCACCCAGCTAAGGATCAAAAAGGCTAAAAACGGGAAGAAATTTTCCTACTTGGGATAAGAATGAAGTTGAAGAAAGGTCGGCTGGCAAGGGTTCATAGGCACGCATTCAGTAACGGATTTTGGATTTATTTAAAAAAAAAAAAAGTTAGGGACCACAGGAAGAGGAGAAATCCTTGTAGTTTGTTAGTCTGACTTCACAGTCAAAGATTGTAGTGGGTAATTCTGCAAGGCACATGGAGAAAAGGCCTAAATGTCTATCCTAGATGTGGAGCACAGCATTCAAGGTTGATACCCTGTGATGCCAAGCGATTTAAAAAAAAAAAAAAATGCAGAACTATGGTTCAGTTATTCACAAAGCAAGTTGTGAAAAAAGACCTAGCATGATTATACAACTGGAGCCGGGAAAACCACACTGATACAGCTTCTGCATGGAGAAATCTGCCACCTAAGTGGCTGCAGGGGTTTCTTGGGTTGTGACAGTTTCACCCTTCTGTCGGTCACGATGTGGCTGCACAGCCCCTGGTCCTGTTGCTGTGGTTCTGCCTGGCCTCCTCTGGTTCCCAGGGCACTGCTGGCCAGATGCTGCTCTCGGCCTGTTGTCTCTGCCTCCCCGGCAGCTCCTGGCCAGAGCCTGGAGCTCAGCTCTTGCTTCCTCAGCCCTGCATCCCAGCCGTCTCTGTCTGCCTGATAGCTTTCAAACCAGCTCCTTTGTGCTTAGTCCCATGTTGCCCCTCACACAGATGCTGGATTTCTTCTAAATGTCTGCAGTGTGACCTGATTATTTTTCTTGTCCTTCCTTGCCCTCCTTTTTAATAGTGTCTATAGAAAAGCTGATGGAGTTCAGTTATATCTGTCATGCTGACTGATAGTGCTGCCTCTTCTCTTGGGATTCCTCCTCTTTTCTGTCCCTCCAACATTCATTTCAGATTTAGCTATCAGCCCTCTAAAGACAGGGCATTGCCTTTGTTCTGTGTTTGTACAGCATGGAGCACAGCGGAGTCCCCAGCTGTGACTGAGGTTCCCAATGCGACAGTGATAAAAGTGAATAGATTGGTAATGAGAAGAGACAGCTGCTGCCATCTAAAAAGAGTCAGTCTTGGTGCTGATTTCAATGAAATCAGGATCGGATCTAAGGCTACTTTTCCACTGCTGCTGCTTATAGAGATTTACCTTAAAATAAAGCCAGTTACTTACAAACTTTGAACAATGCTGGAGTGTTGTTTTTTATTTAATGCGGTTAGACTGTGTTACTCTGATGTTAAGGCAGAAGTAGGAGTTTGCAAATTCTTAATGTAAGATTACTGGGATTCTGACTATAGCAGTGTTTCTGCATTCTTACAGAGATGAGAATAGGGGATCTGAGCCATCACATGTCATGGGATCGTCTAGAGCTGTATTGATTACGCTGGGAACGAGATATGGCAAAGAGCACTGCAGTGAACATGCAGTTCCTCCCTAAGATGCCTTTTAGTTCTTTTCCTACCTGCAGCACTAGAAGGCCTCTGGATGCTCTTCTGTTGTGGTGATGGCTGATTTAAGTACTGTTTTGTTGACTTCAAAATATTCCAGTGGATTTTGTTAAAAATATCACAAAAGAATTCACTCAGGTCGAATTTGGGAAAGTTTATGCTGAAATGCAAATTTCTTGATGTTTTACATACATCAAGCTGTCTTGCTACTGCAGTTTTGTTTGTCACTAGTAGCGTGTTGCATTTTCAGTTTGTTCTGAACACACGCTTTTTCCCCCTTTGTCTTCCCAAATAAGTCTGTCTCCAGATTCACACCATAGGCATGATATAGCTGATATTGCTTAGGTCTCCTTTGTTTCCTTTGCTGAGATAGAATTTGACTTCATAGATTATAGCAGTGACTTCAATATCCAACTGATCTGATGTACAAAAGATGGCCGAGTGTTATGTTAGTTCCAGGTTGTCCACCGCAGGCTGCCATCACAGAACAGCAGCTTTCTTCCCCAGCTTGTCCCTGTGTTAATTGTATATTACTATTGTTCCCATAGCCAAAAGGCTGAATCGCTCCAAGTTAGCTGTTTAAATGTGAGGAAAGAGCAATTAAAAAGGGAGTATTTTCTATTATCCCTTACTTGTACCAAGTCTAGAAATGCTGGTTTAAGGATTGCCAATCCACTGTGCTGTGCACTGTGTACTCATAGCAAAAGCACTTGCTCTGCCCCTAAAGACCTTATGAGTATAACCCTAGGCAAAAATTACTGGATGTTTTTCTTAACGTTTTTCAGAGGCAAATCAGTCATCCTGTGAAGAGTTACTGTGCTAAATCTGAGGACTGAATGTGATCTTTGTTACGCCGTCTTACAAGAATGTCAGTCTGAAGTACGGTTCTCAGAGCAGCGTTAACTGTGAAGTCAGTTCTAATGTTTCTACAGTCCATTCCCATTAGCCTCCTTATAAATCTTTTTTTTTTTTCTTTTTAATCTAGGAAATAATTTGTCTTCTAGTCCTTTTGTACTTAAAATGGTTTCACATAATTCCACTATGGTCTTTCATCTCTTGGCAAAATCTGGGATGGCTCCTATCTGGCTCTGGAATACTGTCTTCAGACATCCTCATTAATTGATTCCTTACTCTGGCACAGTATAGGAAATGATACTGTTTCTCCCTCCCTGGGGAAATATGTGCCTGCATGCATCCGTCTCGTCTTCCTTTGTGCTTACCCAGGCAAAGAATCTCTTACATTCGGTGTTCTTTAGCAGGGTCTGCTTATCGCTCTGCTCCCAATATTTGGTAGTAGCCTGGCTGTTTCTCACATTCTAAAGATTTTGTTAACATAGAAGGAGATTTTCTTCCATTATCTGTCTTATTTTCAAAAGCTCTTTAATCCTTTTACTCCTGTATGGTAAGGCTCTTCTACTGTGGTGTGACTGAAGTATTAGCCTTTTAGTGACAACATATGAAGTGCACAAAGCAGCACTGGAGCTGAATTTTGCCCACTGAATTAGCTAAATCAGGCTGCTCGGAAATCTGTAGCTTCCAGCTTTTCCACTTTCCCAGCTTGACAAACATACCCTTTGGGGCAAGGCATTAGCTATCTCTTCCTTCTCTTTCTTGCTTTATTTGTGTTCTTCTTATGCTCTAGTTTCGTGTTGCTTGAACTTGTTTCTGCCTTCCCATGCGTGGAGTTACAAGAATATAAAATCTGTAAAAGCTGTTAAAACGGTTAGGTCTCACCTGTCTGAATGCAAGCTTGCTTCCATACAAGCTAATTTGTCTGCTTCCAAAGCTCTTGCACCACAGGTTCAATCAGTGTTTTGCCAGTTTAGGTCTCGTTTTTGTCCTGCTTTCCAAGGTTTTTCCCTGGCCTGGATCTAGTTACCTTAGGGATTAATTGATCCATCATGCTTTTGACCTCCTGCACCACCTACTCCCCATGAAATGATGGGGCTGTCACGCCTAAAGCGAGAACGTTGTGTGTGACAGACAGCTTTCTTTGTGACTTGGCTGGGATCACAGGCTTCACTCCTAAAAGATACTAGAATGGCAAGAATCTCGGCACAATATAGGACCCATTTTTTTTTTAATCTGCTGTCTTAATCACAGCCCTGTTTGTACAAGTTTTATTGTTCATTGGGATTTGATTTTATTCATGGGAACAGAGAGGAAGTTATTTGTTCCTTTTTGTTGTCTTCTGACGTGTCGTAAAGCACTCACAGTTCACCGTATGTAGAAAATATAACTGTAATTGCAAGCAAAGCAAAAAAAAAAAAAGGCAATAAATTCTCTGAATAAATGTTTGTCTCCTCTTTCCTGCTGTTGTAAACTGTGAGTGTAGGTGCGGGACATCCGTCTTTCTTTTTTAACATGAATACAGCAGATGGAGCAAATGGCTTTTTCTGAAGGTTACAGTGTGTGCAGCACTGAGGATTGGCATGGTTATTGTGTGTAAAGCCAGTGGGGGCTTTATCTTTGCTCGGAAATGGAGGTTTGCTTCACATTTCCATTTTGATTAGCAATAATGGTACAAAGGCAAATTTTCTGCACGAGGAAGAGCTGCTAATAAAGTGACCTTTCAAAATTAAGTAGCTCATTGAAGTGCAATACCACAATAAGAGTATACAAGGATGGTCCCAGCTGCGACAGGCAGGGAAAACGGACGGGAATCTAGAGAAATGCAGAACGGGAAGGCTCACATAGAAGACTTGCTCATGGCTGCAGAGTAATTGTAGCAAATACCAACGGCCCTCCGCAGTTTCAGCTCTGGAGGGGGCAATCTATGTGCTTAGTCTTTGATTGGATCTGGGGGAAAAAAAAAGATGCCAAAAGCCCCTTTGGCCAGTGTGAAAGGCAGGGGCAGAGAGTATTTATAGCAAGGTCCCTTGGCATGGGGTTGGTGTAGTTAAGGGACGTTGTTGTTTTCCTGCCAGTGTTGTAACATCGTTTGTGCTTGAATGCTGTTGGAAATGTGTTTGCATGGTTTGCTCATGGCAGGCATAGGGTAGATTTGAGGCTATTTTGCAGATTCGTCCTAGATACAGGTGAGGAACAATTAACACCAAGCTGGCCCTAATTCGAAGCCCTGGTTTCTGTGTAGGAATTATTTGCCGTTCAACTCCAGCTATGCAGCCTTTGGCAAGAGACATGAATCAATTTGTCCAGCTTTTCTTTTCTGTTTTGTCTCTGTGTGAAGGCTGATGCCCAGTGTGTGCCAAGGGGGCCTTTCAGACCCAATAATGCGTCCTTGTGTCTCGTAGCATGCGTGGAATTTGCATAGGCTGTGCTGGGACAGGCAGGTTTCTTTGTTGCTGGAAACAAGGAGCAAGTTCTTTTCCCTGTCTCCGCTTCCTAATGCCTCTCCAAAAGCTCTCAGCACTCATGTAAGAAATTTACTTTTTTCTATTTATTTTTCTGTTAAATATTGTTAAACTTTGTGTAACTGTAACACCGGGTATGCAGAGAAATCGTGTCGGTCAGTTTTAGTTGACAAAATTGTTTTAATTTTTTTTTTTTCTCTGAACCTAGATATCTAATTGTCAGAGGGAGCAGATAATCTGTGATGCTTGATGTAACTGCTGCAAAGTATTTGCATATCTTCTCTGTGGGGAAACAAAACTGCTAGTGAGTGAATAACAGCGCACGGATCATTGCAGGCAGGGTCACTGGGCCTATACACTTGCTATTAACCCTTCTCAGGATCTGTATTGCCACAGAATGAGTTGTCATGGGTTTCAGGCAAAGGGCTTGCTCTGCATTATGGGCAGAGTTGGCACTTGTTTGTGCGTTTTAGGCCCGTGCAATGAAATGAGAATATGATCAGATCAACTGGTAGTTGCTTTTTGGCAGCTGGTATTGAGTTGTTTCATTTTGCTCTTGATTTATTACAAATAACAAACTGCTGAAAAACTTACTGGGAGGTACTTAGCAAAATATGGCCCCCATTTGGAGTCAGCAGCATGCTCTCTAGGCCACTCTGAGCGTTGCAGCTGGGAACCTTTAAGAGCTTTCTAAGTTTTTAGATGACCTGGCAGATTGCCATATAATCTGCCTTGCAGACCTTCCTCCTCTCCATCCTTTTGAAGGAGTCTTTGACATCCTTGGAGAGCAATGGAAAGGGAGAGGTTTTTATAGGATTCTCGCAATGCACGTGCTGCTGAGAGCCTGGTTTCCTGTGATTTCAGCAAGTACCTTTCTCCTTGTGGAGTCTGAGTCCCAGCTTTTCTTCTCTTGTTCTCATCACGCATCCTGGAATCCCACCAAGGTGGTCTTTCAGGTCAGAGATACACAGCAGTAGTTCAGATATCTGTGAACTTCAACAGTTAAAACATGGAAGTGGCATGGAGTTCAGCTTACTTGCTGGTGTGTGTTTTGCTGTCCTCTTTCTTGGTTAGCTGCTCTCTGTTTACATCGGAACAGTAAGTTGCTTAGATATCTGACCTGGTAGTTCAAGTGCTAATGCACTATACCTGATACTGCCCTGTTGCTTGAACCAATGAGTATAAGGTCCGGTTGGTTTTAAGTACCCTCTTTTTTTTGTGAAAGACATGCTGAACAGTAAGCACAGGTGCCCAGCCTTGGTTGGAACACAGAAATGTAGCCTCCTCTGCGAAAATGAGAGGAAGGGAAGGGTGCTCTGGTCTCCCATGGGAAGATGACTTTGGAACATGGGCTGGGGAAAAACTGAGGTGGCTGAGGTGGCTGGCGGAGCATGTGGTTCCTCCAAGGTGCCGCACCTGAGCAGCCGGAGTGATCAATGGTGTATGAGCAGCCTGTACGCTCGGCGCCTGCTGTTGGAAAACAGTGTTCAGTGGGGGCTCAGAACTGAGGAGGGATGTTGAAACAGTGGAAAGAAAAGGATTATACAAGAGCCAAAGTATGATTAAAGAATTACAAAATGCATTACAGTGCACACACTCAGTGTATGCAAGCTGGGTGGGCAGACAAACTCCACCCAGAACCTAGGAGGAACTGGCACACCAACTTGCAAAGCCGGAGCAGTGCATTATAGCAAAGTATGACATCAGGGCAGTAGTTTGTAACTGGAGAATAATGACTCTAATCCTCAAATGTAAGTAAGTAAAAGGGGAGCAGGAGAAGCAAGCTAGGTAACTGTAGGCTGGTGGGCCTGACTTCAGAAATCTGCAAGTCCTTGAGACAGTGGTGGGAAGATGGTAATGAAAGACCTAGAGGTAGGTGGAAACTGGGATAAGATTCAGCCTGAGGATGTAAGAGTACTGATTAACCTGAGATCCCTAGCTATTTATTTTAATTTTGGACATGGGAAATGTAGCTTACTTAACCTCTGGTAAAGCTATGTACCTGTTATAAATAACCATTAGTAGAGTAGTGTCTCTAATACATCCTGTTTCCCATGCCACGTGAGAAGCTATCAAACTGGAGAAAGTAGATGTTAGTAGAGAATTGGGAGGTAGGATAAAGGACAGCCTGAACAAACGGCAGGAGTTGGATGAGCCAAAAAGAGGTCTATTAGGAGGCAGGTTCTTAAGGGTTCCTCAAGGACTGGTCTTGAGAGGCTCATGCTAATACTGATGAGTTCACACTCGTGCCACACTCAGAGTGCATCGTTGGGCAATTGTAGCTGGCAGAGAGCAGTACCTGAAGAGCTGCTAGGTTGTCACCTGGGAGCATCTGACCACATCCCTAGCAGAACTGAGGGTGAGTGTTGTTTTCATGTTTGCAACCTTAGAGACAAAGTCCCGTGGCGTGGGAGCTTTGTATTTATTGTTAGGAAGGTAGTGATGATGGAACAGCTTTGGGAACTGATGAGTATAAGCTGGCCTTGAATGAATTTACATTGGTATTTAGACTGTCAAAACCACTGGAAGTAAATTTCTGAGGGAACAGGACCAAACTTAAAAGACTGAGAGTGTTGAGTTGATATAAAGTATCAGACATCATAGCTGCCTGAGGTAGGAGGAAGTGGAAGCAGTGAGAGTTTCTTCACTTGAGTGCTCTCATGTGTTGCATATGCTATCATCGCACTACGGAGTGCTGGTCTTGGGCTGAGTAATGCAAACAGGCCAAAAATGTTTTGGCTCCAAAGGGCAATGAAACTGTGCTGTGCTGAACACTCACTGAAGGCGACATACCATTGGTGTAGACTTGTAGCCTCTGTATTGGCAGATGTCTCCTTCAGGGCAGACCACCTGGCTGTAAAAACAAAGTGATGAGGAGATTTTTGTTTTCTCCTTCTCCTTCCCTTTTTTCCAGCGATGCCATCTGCAATTTTGTCATTTGCAATGACTCCTCCCTCCGTAGCCAGCCAATCATCTTCAATCCCGACTTCTTTGTGGAGAAACTGCGCCATGAAAAGCCGGAGGTGTTCACAGAGCTCGTGGTCAGCAATATCACTAGACTTATTGACTTGCCTGGGGCAGAGCTGGCCCAGCTGATGGGAGAGGAGGACCCAAAGCTGCCTGGGGGAAACAGCACAGCCTCTGGATTTTTGCGTTCCCTGATGTCTCTGAAACGCAAAGGTGAGTATGACATGGTGCGTGGCACCCACCTTTAGAGTGATGCTGACTGTCATCATCTGTTACCTGTAGTTGAGAGAACTTTCAGTGCAGGCCTGCTGTTTCAAGCTTGTGTTAAGGGCTTAATACGGTATGTTTGTGGCTTAATACTGTATGTTTGTAATCTCTGAGGATGCCAGCTTCAGAAAGCAACAAAACAGAGGCCAGGAGATTCAGCCAGGAAGTACCTTGCTACTTCTAGCAAGAGTATCCTTCTTCTGGGGGTTGGTGTTCGAGTTGGTCACAGTCGGTTGGCTGCTGCTTGTGCTCGGTGCAGCACAAACCAAAGAAATGTAGCTTTGGCCCTGACTGTTTCTGGTCTGGCTCTGCGGGTGGCACTGAGCCGGAGAGGTGTCCCAGATCAAACTGCAGGTTCTTCCAGTGCATGCCAAGCTAAGGAAAACAGAGAAGCCTGAATTAGCACAGACAAAAATAAGCATGCTTGCCTGTGGTAATTCAGGCTTCTCTGTTTTCCTTAGCTCATTAGCTTTCCTCATTAATGACAGAGCATCAGTAAAGGCTGAGAATGTCAACTTCTGTAAACAACAGTAATGACCACGTTTTCCAGGCCGCTGACTTCCCTCAGTGCCCTCTGTCTCCTTCAGCTGTTATCCTAGCTGCCTTGAAGGTCATGTCTGTGCAGCTTAGAAATCTATAGAACAGGTACGCATCTCCCATCCCAGTGCCAGCGCTGCTCTGATCCACATCCCAGTCCCAGTGAGTCAGTGGCAAAGCTCTGCCTCTGCTCAAGCCCAAATTTGTCCCTGAGGAGATAACTTATTTCTCTTTCTTCTGCTGAGGTAAGCATAGCTTCCAACACTCAGCTGGAGTTTTCTTTTGGTGACCTGACTATTCTTACTTTTTCTTTCAAGTTTGGCTGTTGTAATCATGAAATATCAGCCCCAGCACCCTTCTTAGAAGCCTGGAGTTTGCCTTTGAGTACCTGTGTCTTCACATCCTTTCTTCACCAGTGGCTGGCAGTTGCAACTTAGTTTAGTTATATCTTAAAGGGTTTTCCAGGTGTGTGTGCCTGCTCACACCTCTGCCCACACTCAAGGGGACCAGTTTCCCTCATGAATTTAGTTAAACCTTCTCACTTAACTACATAGCAACTGGCTCTCTCTGGACACCTCTTACATCCCTCCCTCAGCCATGGTCTCCTAGCTAGATTGCCTGTCTGCTGGCAAAGAAGCTGTGGGTAGCTGTCTTCCAATGTGGGCAGTTGGGATCGAATACTTCTAATGAATCTTCTGTTTCCTTTGAGCAATTCTGCTATTGTAAGCACCTCTGAGAAGAGAGTTACCAGAATGTCTGAGGTTTTTTGCTTTCAATCTTTATATGGGGTTTCTCCAAGTGTTCCATTTTCTACCAAACTTATGCCTCTATAAGGATAATCTCTGAGCTCTGCTGCTTGACTGAACTCTCTGGTACTGGCATCTGCCCTCCGCTTCTGGCTTACCTGGTGGGATCCCTGGTAGACACGCTTACCCTGGCAGAGCTGGACTGGGCAGCACTGCAAGGGAAAATCAAGTACTTCAGTATCCTTAGGTGAGAATTACTCAGTTTCACCATGATTTTGCTCACTGCTCCATAGAAACAGGTCTTTACGCTCTGCTCCCAAACTGCAGTTACACTGTGCTCGGACCTGTGTTGCAACTGCCTCTTTTCCAGAGGAGTAACAGGACACCTCAAATTCAGACGCGTGTCATTTGACAAGCAGGAGTGAGGGAGAAACCGAGTCAGCTATTTCTTGTTAGCGTTCAAGGAAACTTCCCTGTTCTGAAAACCTTCTATCAGAGGCTTGTCAGCCTTCTCTGACTCCTTTTTTTTTTAAATTAGCCATACTCTGCTGGAGCACTGTTCTAACCAGCTTTCAGAACTGATATCTTCTGCTAGCTCCTCTTCCACCAGAGACTCCACCTTACCCGGTACAGATTGAGAGTGTTTCCATGGTCATGTGTTTTCACTACAGCTACAGTAAACAGATGTTTCCAAGTCAGCTGGCTGCACTCCCAGGCTGCAATGACTCCCTGCATTGACAGGCGCTGCCTGTGAACTTCAGGCTCTGAGAACAAGTTTGTGCCTACGGAGAAAATTAATTTCATGTACTATGTTTCATCTTAGAGCTATTCTTTGTTTCTTTTGATGTTATAGAGCAGACAGAACAAAACAGGTTTTATTTCTCCAAAGCCAGAGGCCGAGGACTGTAGAGCTCAGAGCTGATCAAACTGCAAATACTTATGACTTCTTTGAGCATCAGGAAACTCAATCTCATGCTGCTTCTTAGTTTCTGAAGCAATTGTACAATAACATCTAAGCCTTTATAACTCAGCATCCATTCTCCACGCACTTCTTTCAAGTTTCTTTGAGAATCAAATTGTCATTCAGACATCAACTTCTGACTTTAAAAGTAAATCCAATTCATCAGACCCTGCACATCTCTAGAAGACATGTTTTCTTCTCCCTGGCCACTGTGGATTCTATCTGATGAATGTATAATGAATTTAGTTTCCTTCAAGGACAAGAATCTTTTGCTAACCATTCTTTCACTTCATGTTCAAGCCTTTCAGATCTTACATGAGGATCAAGAGGTTACATTGTCCTCCTTCCTTCTGCAAGACTGAAGACCTTCTGCATGTGCTTTATCAGAGAGAGGTCAAAAAGTTCTTGATTTAACAGGCAGTTGGAGTTCCTGGTGGCTTACCATGTATTTCAGAAGTCCTGGAAGAAAGCGGAACATTCTTCAGGCGGAATAAATTTAGTTGCACGGGAAGGCTGCTTGAGAAGTGCACAAGGGTTAACCTGGTCTTTCCCACATGCCGTGAACATCCATACCTCAGAACAGTAAGATCTGTAGTACAACAAACCAAAAGCTTGTAAAATCACTATGTGCTGTGGGGGGAGGAAGCAAGACAAAGCTTATGAGGGAGATGATAACTTTTATTAGGCCAGCCAATGCACCGCTTGGATCACTTGGCTCTCAGCTGCAACAATAAGGAGGAAAACTTTCAGCCCCAGAAAGCTGGTGCCATTGCCTAGCTTGCCTTCAGAAGTGGCCTGCGCTCCTGCAAGTCTGGTCATGGGGAGACGAGGTATACTCTTTTCTTAAATCTGATGGCTCTTTGAAGCCTAAGCGTGAGGACGGGACAAACCAGCTGTGTGCCTGGTTCCAGTTCTTGGTCCCAGTCAGCATGCACGGTATGGTCTTTCCAGCATCTCATCTCTAGCTGCGGTCAAAGCCTACGTTCATCTCGGGAGGAGTGGTGCCCAGGGCTCTGGTTGCTGGCACTGAAGTCATGGGATTTGCTTCAGCCTTCTGAGACAGAGAGTATACCGGTTGTGCATGTCTGATGAAAGAAGTCATTCACCAGCAAGACTCCATTTATTCGAAAATATTACCCTGTTTAATACCTGCTCTCTTACCTGGAAAGTCCCTCTCTGGACAGGAACAGTTTTCTACAGCGGTTCAACAAGTGCCTTTCAGTTAAATGGGCTTCTCATCTAATGTTTCTTTCTGTGCAGGGGTCTCCTTCCTTTCAGTTCAGTTGCTTCTCTTTTTCCTTTGGGACTGGAGCCTGTATTACTGACTGGAGTTCTGCAACTGGCAACTCATACCTGATTTTGGTTAACAGCCCTACGAGATGAAAGCAAGCTCCAGGAGTGAGAGGAGCTGTCAGCGTTCCTTATAGAGAAGTGCCCAGCTCACTACTTCCCTACTCTCCCTTCTTCTAGTTCTGCCTTGTTCAGCCTTCTGGTACTTTATGCTTTACTCAGGCCAGGGCAGCTGACGTGGGAGAGAGATTCTGTGCTTGTTTATCTGTCTCTGGAAAGGAGGCTGGCACGATCCAGTCAGGCCTTATCCTGTAGCTGTAGCTCTTCCTTCTGCCTCACTGCATGTCAGGCCACAGTGAGGACTAATCCAGACCTTGCTTCCAGCTATGGAGTGTGCCTATGGGACAGGCACCTGGGCGGGACAGGCACCTGGGCGGGACAGGCTGCCACATCTGCTTTTCCCACTTTGACTGCTGTTCTGTAGGGTCCAGGCTTGCAGATAGTGCGCCCTTTAAAAATGAAACATCTATTCTGGTGTTGTTTTCTTTGCAGGAGCTAGAGAAAGTTTTCTTTAACTGATAAAAACTAATTAAGCTGAGGTAAGAGGCAAGATGATGAAGCCCTTGCAAATACAACATTGTGAGATGAAGTGACTTATTTGGGAGTGCTTGTGAGATAGTGTCTATGGGGGTCCTTGTGAACTTCATCCTTAGCGTTTTTGTGCACTGGTCTTGGCATGCTGAGATCCTGTTCTTTGAGGGAGCACTCTTCTCTGGAGCTGTTGGGCTCTGAGCAGCCTGAACATGTTATCTTCTGTCCTGCAGAGAAAGGAGTGGTGTTTGGCTCACCGCTGACAGAAGAAGGCATTGCACAGGTTTCCCAGCTAATTGAATATCTGCACAAAAGTAAGTAACTCTGTCTTACTGCCTTCCTGTCCCGAGGGCCATCTGTCTGGGCCACCTCAGGTCTCTGGTGCAGGCAGAGTGGTGATCTCTGAGCCTCTCCAGCAATAGGGGTTTGGGGCAGGACTAGGCGACTGCTGCTCAGGATTGCCTAGCGGGTGAGTTAGTCTTTCTTCCTGTTTCTGTGTACTCTTTCTGCTGGTGTGACCCAGCCTGAACTCATGGCTCTGAATGCTGCTCACTGAGGTTTGCTGTCGAGCTCTATTAAGGGGGAGAACTGCTTTAGTAAGAAGGGAATCAGCCTCTGAATAAGCAGGGATGTTTTTCCTCCCCTCTGCTGAGCAGATCTACGAGCAGAAGGCTTGTTTCGGGTGCCAGGCAACAGCATCAGACAACAGATCCTAAAGGATGCTCTGAACAGTGGTACAGATATTGACCTGGACTCCGGGGAGTTTCATTCCAATGATGTGGCCACCCTGCTGAAGATGTTCTTGGGCGAGTTACCAGAGCCCCTGCTGACACACAAGCACTTCCATGCCCACCTCAAAATTGCAGGTGAGTGAGCAACAAGAGACAGCGATGAGCAGAGGAAAGAAAGCCAGCCTCCTAGAGAGCTGGTAATGCTGCAGAGCTGCACATTAGTCTGGGAAAGATCCTGAAGTACAGTTCCTAAAGGGAAGGGTAAGAGATTTTTTCCTGCCACCTCAGCCTAATGGTTTTAAAGATTGGAGCTGAAAATTCGAAGGAATCAGACTGGGTCTTTCTAGCCCATTTCTTCTCTCCAGCAGTCAGCATAAGCATATGCCGAGGGAAGTACAGGAGTAGAGCCTGCATTGGGTAACCTGAATCTCCGACTGTTTTAAGTCTGGGATTTTCCTCAGCTAGGTGTGGTTTCAATGTACTTAGTAACCCTTACTGAACTATCTTAGGTGAACTTGCTCCATCTTGAACCCATCAAAATTATTAGCCACTGTGTTATTCTGTTGGAGGAGTACCACAGATTAACACGCCAGCTGGGGGGCTTGGGAACCAGGGGGAAGGAGCTGGAGGGCCAAGAGCTGAGCATGAGTTTGGAGGAGAACTGGCTGTGGGAAGAGGGGAGGGTAACTCGTCGCAATGGGCCTGCTGTTAGGAAAGGCAATGTGTCTCCTTAACGTTCTGCCCTGTGCTTTGGCAGACTTGACGCTGTTTGATGAGAAGGGGAATAAGACTAGCACTCCGGATAAAGAGCGCCAAATCGAAGCCCTCCAGCTGCTGTTCTTGATCCTTCCTGCGCCCAACCGCAGCCTGCTCAAACTGCTGCTGGATTTGCTCTACCAGACGGCCAAGAAGCAGGACAAGAACAAGATGTCTGCCCACAATCTTGCCCTCATGTTTGCACCCCACATCCTATGGCCCAGAAATGTGAGCAATTTCTCACAGTATCTGCTGGTGGGATGTTGCAGGGTAGAAAAGAGAGGCTTGGCAGGCCCATAGGGGAGCACTGAGACGGGAAGGATGAGTGTTGCAAGACTGATGTGAGGGCTGGAGACTGCAATGGTGAGGTGGAGCTGCCTGGCCAGGACTCGGAGTCCGTTGGGTCTCATTTGCCACTGATGCTTCCTCTTTGCCAGTAAGATCTAAAGCACAGCACAGTCCTGCTTCTTAAGAATGAGCGCTCTGAGCAAGCCCTGCAGACCTCTCTCTGCAAGGTTTCTTGTGCTGCTGGTAAACTGTTTTGCCCTAGAGTTGCCTGGGTGGCCAAGGTGTCAGGCCAGCTCTCCTCAGAGCAGCTTTGGCTCTGTGAGCTCTGCTTATCAGCGTGCGGTGAGCCCTGCCTGCCCATCTCCTCAGAGCTGAGCTCCTGCTGAGACACTGAATTTGTCTATGTCCCAAAGACAACACAGGCAACAGGGACCCTTCTTCCTCCCCTTCTAACAGCTGCTCCTTGGGCTGTGTTCTTTTGCCAGGTGACAGCGAATGACCTGCAGGAGAATATCACAAAGCTAAACAATGGAGTGACCTTCATGATCAAGCACTCGCAGAAACTCTTCAAGGTAAGTGTGCTTTGAGGTCCTGCTCTTCCTGCCCTTCTGCAGGACCTGCAAGGTCCTGCACCTTGTCCAGACGGGTCTCAGGTGTCAGGATTGTATTCTGGGCACTCTCTCCTGCGGTGGGAGGAGGAGGATTTATACAAGAAACTGTCTCTTTAGTGATTAGAGAGGAAGTCTTGGCTGGACGCAGCCCCGGGGAAGGAGGACACAGCCATGGAGGTTGCTTTTCTGCCTCGGTGAGGTCAGAGGCATGGTGCAGTGTAATACCACCCTCTGCTGGACACCCAGCACCTGTTTTCTGCATGGAAAACCTGTTTCCTTGGGGTAATTAGTGGTGGGGCTCTTGTGGGGAAACTTTGGGGTTCTGGCAGGCTAAGGAAACTGAAGGGGCTCCTCTTGGATGAGGGCTGCTGGCACCTGAATCCCTAATGCAGGGGGTCACTCTGCTGTGAACGCTTCTGCATTTGGCGGTCAACCCAGTGCTGACATGGGCAGAGTTTGCAGTCCTGAGCCTCTCTGTTTCGCTCAGCGTGGGGTGCTTTGGTAGCATAGTTAGGCATGTGGGGCTGTCTGCAGGTCCCTCCAGGGGAGTGTTTCCAGAACAGACAGTCTCTTTGCTTCCCGGGACCTTCCTGGTCCTGTTCTGTGGGCTTCTGCTCCCTGCGTGGAGTCTTCCCATAGAAAGTGCCACTTCTGCCCTCTTTGTCAGGCCCCTGTTTGGCCAGCCTAGAGCTGAGTGAATTACTTGGAAAAAGCTTGTGTGGAACCTGCTGTAATTCTTGGTTCCCCTTGCGTTGATTACATGTGTCAAAGGGAAACTGTGAGCAGGGATTGCACTGGGGACATGAGACACCGTCATTTAGCTCTTTAGGGCAGATCAAGTCTTGGAAATGGCTTGTGTATTGCAGTTGAGAGGCAGCTCTCGGAGAGGCTGCGTCTTCCCCCAAAGTCCAGCACACCAAACACATGCATGGCATTTCCCCTATGCGCACCGTCTCATCTCTCCTCTGCCTAGGCCCCAACTTACATCCGGGAATGTGCCAGGCTGCACTACCTCGGATCCAGAGCCCACGCATCAAAGGTAAGGCCAGCAAATGCAGTTGCCTGCCCTCCAGGAAAGGGCAGAGGCTGTGCTACTGGGAAGGGATCTTTGTGAGTGAAAGAAGCTGAAAACAAACCATGAAAGTGGATCGGTTGGAGAGCAGGAGTCAGGGAACCATATGGTATGGTAGCGCAGGTGAAGGAAATTTCCTTTGCATTAAGGAAATTGGGCAGAGTTGAAGCATCTGTTTATCAAAAACACCAGGAAAGCTACCAGCCTCTCTTTAGCAGCAAACCTGTTCTCTGTGCTCATCACATGCAGCACCTGCTACTTTATGGGGCTGGGCCTTCCAAACAGACAGACATGTCCACTGCCATGGCTAGGCTGCTTGCAAAGAGGAACGTGCTACGTGCTGCTGCTGGAATAAGAATTATCTGTATCTTTTCAGCAAATGCTTCCCTGCCCCATATAGCTGCAGAAGAGGGAAGATGCGTTGGAAGGAGCTGCAGTAACCCTTCTTAAGCCTGGAAGAGCTTCTGCAGCTGGCATCCAGGAGGGAGGGAAGAAGCAATGGGGTCACCTTTGTATTGCTGTCACCTCTGCCTGGCACAGGGCCTGCTGGTGCAGTGCTGCTGCAGAGGGGTAGAGAAAACACAGCCCTGTGCATTCGCTGGGGTGAGGCAGCTCACGAGACTGTTCCCAGCGTGGCTCAGATGGGTAGCTCGTTTGGATTAAAGCATGGCAAGCAACTGCTTTCTCCGCTTTCCCAGGACGACCTGGATCTGCTGACCTCTCCGAGCTCCAAGGAGCTGCAGCCTCTCAAGTCTCAGAAGCGAAGCCGCCTGGACCCTTGCCATCAGGAGGAGACCCAGCAGCGCACAGAGGAGGCACTGAAGGAGCTCTTCCGCCATGTCCACAATATGCCCGACTCTGCAAAGAAGAAGAAGCTCATTCGGCAGGTAGTGTGGGGAGGAAAGATACCTTTGGGGGAGAGCTTGTCAGCACAATCCTGGGCGCAGGGCTAAAGGCAGGGCCTACCGGAGAGCTGCTCCCAGTGCTGGGGAGAGTGAGCTTTAGGCCCTGCAAGAGGCAGAGCTGTATGAAGGAAGGGGAGGAGGAAGCCTGGGCTGGATGTGGCTTATAATGGATGTTGTTGCTGCACCAAGCTGTGCTCTGAGCTCTCTGTCCCCCAAGCCAGGGACTTGCCAGCTGGAAGTCCCTCAGTCCTGATCATGGCCATGTTGAGCTTGCTCCCTCAGGAAGAGGAAAATCCTGTCTCCTCTTGCCTGCGTGGTGTGGGACAAATTGGTTTCCACTTGGTCCAGTGAGCAATTCCAGGCAACTTGCTGCTTCAGGGAGACTCGGTATAGCCAGTGCCTGTCCTGGCTGCCAACCCCCAGTTCCTGCTCAAACCCCTTTCTACTCTGGTGGCTGCTGGTCTCGTCTGACCCAGTAGCCAGCACAAAGCTGCCTCGCACCCAAGCTTCCTGTGACCCTGGGTAGAAGATGTAGCTGCCTTCTTCTTTCTTCTCCCTGCAGCTCTGAGCTGCCCCTCCATTTTGGGGTGTGGGAAAGCCAAAGCAATATCTGGCCAGAGGGCAACAGATAGAGCTGCACACAGCAGCAAGAGGCTAGTAAGCTAGTAACTGTGCTAACATACTGCTCTCGTGTATTCTCCTAGTTTAATAAGCATCCTACAGCTCTCACTCCTGGCTCTGATGTACCAACACCTCCAGCACAAAGACGCACCCGCTCGCGCTCCTTCAGCGGTCTCATTAAGGTAAAGGCAGCCTCTGACCCATGTTCTCTGCTGCAAGTCTCTGATGTTGCTCTGTGCTCCTGCCTTGCCCTGGCTTGAATAAGGCACTTGATGGTAGGGACTGCTCAAAGTGCTGGCTGTAAAGATCCGCTGGGGATGGGAAAAGCAGCACAGCCAAAATAAGCCTTGTTAGTATAAAATGTAATTATTGGAGACACTCCACTGTAGGATCTGTGCATTTTTGTGAGGCTTCATTGCTTCCCAAAATGAGATGAGGACTGACAGGGAGCAGGCCACTTAGTCTAGCTGCCTGTTAGCACAGGTGTTAGCACACTGGCTGTTCTACAGCAGCACCTACCTGCTTCTGACAGGCTGGGCTCCTGGCCAGGCCTGGTGTCACCCCCCAAATCCTTCCGGATCATGCAGGCTAAGTGTGGTGGAATGGTATTTCAGATAGTTCTGTTTTGCAGTCTTTGTCCCAGCCTGGCTTCCTGTTTTCTTTCCCAGCATCCAACTGTTTACCAGAAACGCACCCTGCTCCCTTCCCTTCCTTTTTCCCTTTGCACTCTGAGCCCTAGCCAACAGCCCTCTCTTCTTATGGCAGCGGAAGGTTTTGGGAACACCGGTTATCATGGAGAGGAAGAGCAGGGATGTCACACCAGAACCAGAGGGAGCTAGCAAAGAGAACATCCACCTGGTAAGAGCTGCTCCTAGCCTTCCTGAAGCTGCCAGTGAGGGAGTGCATGGAGGGGCGTTTAAGTGCAACCTGGGCACTCATTTGAGCTATTCTTGGGGGCTGCTTGCTGTTCTCTGCTCTAATCAAGGCTTCAGAGTTTCTTCTGTATGATCAGAAGCTTAGAAAGCTGCTGTGGGGAAGGCAGCGCAGGGCTAATAATGAGGGCAGCACCAGGAGCCAGGGTGGCAGCTGTCAGCCCTCACTGCAGTCCTCTCCCTCTCGTTTATTCCTGTATCTCCCCTGGGGCACTGGCTGTGCCCCTTTCCCTCACTCTCATCCTCCTCCATGAGTTGTACAGAGCTCTCCTGGACCTTTGCTCTCACCCTGTTCCAGGACTGAACTGAAGGTTTAGGTTCATGTTGGTCTCCAGACCTCTCTTGTCCAATTCCTTCGTTCTGTGGGTCAGTCAAGACTGTCACTGCTCAGGTTGTTCTTGTGCCCAGCTCAGTGTTCGGGGCCAGGCAGTGCAGCTGTAGCCGTACAGCACTGCCCTGCCTCTGAGTCAGGTCTGTCCCCCTCCCGTCCCTCAAGAGCCCTCACAACACACAGATATCCTGCATTTGGCCGGCTTACGGAGTGGCCCGCACGCTTGGGGCGGGCATAGTCTAGTATCTGGGATGACAGTTGCCTCCTGTTCTAGGTGGATCAGTAGTTTAAGGCTTAGGCAGTGCCTGTACTCTGCAGACTGCTGCCTGGGGTAGGGCTGTCCTTGAGGCTAGGCAGGCAGAGTGTCGATTTGGGTGGGAACTGCTCTCTGGCAGTACAGCCTGCTCCAAGGAAAGACTGCGGATGTCATTTCATTCCCCAGCTCTCTGATCCTATTCTTTTCTCTTTTCCAGTTACAGAAATGTGGCTCTCCAGCTCATGTGTCCCAGGCAAAGCTGAAATTTTTAGAGGGCCGGAAAGAGGTGAGATGCTCACACACACAGCCCTTCCTGAGGGGAACCTGGCCTATTGGGCTCTCAACTCTCTCAAGTACAGAGAGAGACTTGCAGAGACAATGTCACTGCAAGCAAGGCTCTGTCTCAGGCTCTGTGGCAGCCGTGGTCCCCTGGCTGTAGCAGTTTGTTCCATGTCGAGCTGTGAGCGATAGGTGCTCTGGAAGCCAGGCCTTGAAGGGATTAAGTGGAGCAGTCATGTACAGCCCTTCTGTGAGTCACCAGGCTGGGTGACATGGGAAGGAGGGCAGCTAGCCCCTTGGGGCTAGTGCTGACAGCCTTTCAGGGTGGCAGTGAGATAAGAGCCTTGGGCTGTACTCACCTGACTGCAGTAATCGTCCTTGTCTGGTCACTGTCTCGTGTCTTGTGCTCTGCTTGGTCAAAGGTATGGAAAGACTGCAGTGGGAGCCCTTGTAGGGGAAGGACAGCCTATCCCTTATTCCTGTGTGGCATTCTGTGTTGAGCATTCAATCTCTCTAATCCTCTGCTCCAGGACTCCTGTAGACGTGTGCGAGCCCGCCTGCTTTCCAAGGAGTAGTCATCCCTGTGAATTGCCTCTCACCAACGCATGGGTGGGGAATGCCCAGCCTCGCAAGCTGTGAATAATACATGCTGCACTGAGAGAGGAGCGCTGCAGGCTCACAGCAGCCTTCAGCATGCCAGTGCTCTTGAAATGGGACCTTTGCAAGGACTGCAGGGACTTGTTTCTATCTGTATATAAATATATGTCATTCCACTATGGGGCAAACCACTATCTAACCAAAACCCGTGCAGCATGTCTGACCTGCTGGCTCTGGGAAGAGCTGGAGAGCTCACTTACAAGGAGAGCCCTGTGCATTGTGGGGCCCTGTTCGTACTCCCAGCTTTTTCTGCAATGTGCTAGGCTGTATTTTGGCCCTTTCTGCTCTGAGCTTTTAACACGTTGGCTTGTTTTTGCTCCCTCTTCTCTGTTAGCAGTGAGAATGAAGGACTCCAACCTTTGTGTGCGTTCTGGCAGCTAACCTTATCTCCAGGCCTCCTTTGGAGCCATGCCCCCTGTGCTTTCAGGGACCAGCTCTGTGCTTCCAATGGGGTCATTTTTACCTGCCATCCCTGAAGCGCACAAATGGTACACAGCATGGGGTGGACCTGGGAGAAGAGGGTGCAATCATCCCAAATGGGGCCTGGGGAAGGTAGCTTTCCCAATAAACTCATTGCCCTGTTTCAGCTTGAGCTGGAAGCAGCCCCTGCTCACCACCTCTACGTGCCGTGGTACAGCACTGCCACTGGCTCTGCCTGGGGAACAAGGAGCGTCTCTGCTTAGCGTTCCCCGAGGGAGGCTAAGCTGTTCCTTGGGGGGCAGGAGGCTGCCAAAGTCTGTCCTGGGGCAGGAGGAGAGACCAGCCTTTGGAAGCTGGGATGTCTGGGGCAGGCAGAGTTAATGTGCAGCACAAAAAACAGCATGAGCATCACGAGAGGTGAAGGAGGGCTCCAGCCATTTGTGATCTGCTGAAAATGGTGCCAAAGGCTTTAGCTCAAGATATCTGGATGGCCCTTCTGGCAAGTGGCTGATTAGTTACTAAACTGGGGGAAAGGACCGGAGCTGGATTCAGCTCTTTGCTGTGAGCTGCAGAAATGGGATGAAACCATCTAGATATGGGATAAACCCCGTTGCAGCTGGCCAGTGTCAGCTGCCTTGTTAAGCTGAAGTGCTCTAATAAGCCAGTCTCACCCAGTGGCTGTCTGCAAGCGCTCTGGGACAGGAAACACATGGGGTCACTACTGTGAAATAAAGATTTAATCAGCTGAGGAACTGTCTAAACACTTCTCAGCCCTTCTCAGCGGAGCAAATAATCTCCAAAATCCAATTATAATTGTCTTCTAATCTTTAAGAACCAGCAGCCGACAGGAGTTAGAGCTCTGTCCTTGACAGCTTTGAGACAACTGGTGGCGGGAGGTGTGAATATCAGGATGTAAGCAGGGAGGTCGGTCCAACTGACCAGAGCTGTTGAAACAGGGCTTCAGAGCCCTGCACGGTTTAGCTGGAATTCATTGTTTTTGGTTACTGTGATTTTTTTTTAAGAGCTACAAAGCTATATGCCTTGTGCAGCTCTTCCTGGTACTTTATATAGGGCACCTTTTCCCAGTCTGACCCTGAAATGGAAGAGCTGCCTTGAAAATGTAGGGGATAGTGGAACTGTAGATGTGGGAGCTGGTGCTGGGAGCCTCTGTCACATCAAAGGGAGAGCACTCATTCTGCAGGGACCGGGGGCAGGTGAGGATGCTGTGAGGAAGAGCAGAGGCTGTTGCTGTGCTAGCAGCATGTGCTTTCTAGATGCACCTGTAACCGTTCCCTCCAGAAGCTGAAACTTCCTGTGTGCCCTTCTCCAAAAGGCAGGCTATGTTTTATTGATCACACTTCTGCCTCTGCTTCTGCAGTCTCTGGGAGGCAGTCCCCTGCTAGCAGAGACGTGGGGATCTTGGCTCTGCCTCTGAACAGAGATGAGGCAAAGCTGAAGGTTTAAAGCTGAGTAGCAGTGCAGGGAGAACTAGGTCTTGTCCTGCTACCTCTGCTTTTGCCTGCATTGAAAGTGATGGCTGGGTGAAGCATTTGTTTGCCCCCTTCCTTCCCACCCCATCCCCCTAGCATACTCACCTGTATGTTGACTTGGCAAGGCTATCCCGTTCCTAAGACTAAATACACTGTTCCTTTACAGATGAGAGAGAAGTAACTTTTCCTTCCAGTGGCTAAGCAACTGTGTCCTCCTTGGTGATGGATCTAGCTCAAGAGTAGTGTCTGATTTCTGGCACAGCTGAGATCTGCTTAGCTCTAAAGAAGATCTGTGGGGCATCAGCCTGGCGTTCTGCATGTCTCAGATGCCTTTCTTGCCAAAAGCAGGGTGGGTGCAGTCTCCAGGCAGGGCAGCCCAAGGAGGACTTCAGAACTGAAGGTCCTAGGGTCGGTACCCTGGGCTTTGACCAAAGGTGCTGTCCTCCTGGTGCCAAGGATGGGGAGGCTAACAGGGACTTGGCTTCTTGGACCCCTGGCTGTCACAGCGCTTATATGCTCACTGTCTCATAGGTGAGGGAGATTGTAGTCATGCCCAGATATGCCTCATTGCTCTGCCCAGCGCAATGCCTCAAAAGAATGCTTCCTTCCAGAGCAGCAACTAACTGTTTCCAGAGTCCAGAGTTTCTGAAATATTTTTAATCTTTGTCCTTATTTATATGCTATGTATGTACTCTTTCAAACTACTGCCTTTCCATATGTTCATGTGAAATCCTCATATTAAATGCTTTTATTTTTAGTGGTTTTGCTCAGTGGCTTAAGCAGTTTCATTGGGACAGTGAGGACTTGGCAGTGCATCTGCCTTCAAAAGGGAGGAAACTTCTGCTCAGAAACCCTGTGCTGCTCTCCTTGGAGTGCAGAGGTGCTCGGTGAGCTGCTGTGTGCCTTCGGGCACAGCACTAGCCTCCTATATGGCACTTGTGCTCATTCCTTCTGGGGGTCCTAGTGCAACACAGGGTACACAGACAGGCTGTCCTTACGCCCTGGAGGTATAAAGTTGGATCTCTTCCTTTCTCTTCCCCCATGCTGTCATCCAGGGTGAAGGGAAATCTGGGTTTACAAAGAGCACTTTATATAAATAATGGATCAAATGAATACATTTTTCTCTTTAGAACCATTCTTTTCTTGCTAATCTTGGCTGCTGAGGGAGGACGGTTTCTGCTTGCATTTTTGTTTCCTTCTTCCTAATAATGGCGTCTCAGATTTTATGCAGATTATTTCTCTGTGAAGTTCTTCCACATTTGAAATGCCCTGGGCTTGCCTGCCGTGGCTCAGACACTCATTAGCATCCTTGCTGTGTGAGCTAAAAACAAGCAGGAGAAGAAGCTGCGTGGTACGTTTGAAACCTTCCTGCAGGCTGAGCTTCAAGCAGGCCTGGTTCTCCTCCAGAGGCTGAAGTCAGATATCATGAGACTGGTGTGCCTCTTCTCCCTGGAGCTTGGGGGGCAGAAAGGACGGGATCTTTGTGCTCTTAATAGTAGGCATGGGAGTCCAGAGAGATGTTGCTGTTCTTGAAACTGCTGAACAAAAGGAATGCAAACCTTCACAATAGCTACTTTGAATACTGCAAATCCATGTATTGCCTCCCTGGTAATCATGTTTCAAAGTGACAGGTGTTATACTGCTTATGTAATTTAAAAATGAGTAGTTTTTAGCCTCTGAAGCCGCAAGCTGAGCACCTATGCTTGACTGTTAACTAAAAGAGCAGCAGTTCTGAAGTCAGTGGGACTAAACACTGAGTGAAGGTACATACTTGAAGGGGAACCTTAGTTTTCATTATGCTTGGTTGGCCTGTCGGTATTCCTGCACAGCAGTGGCATTGCAAAGCAAACGAGCAATGTTCATCCTTCGTTTCATTATACAGTTTTATCTCAAATTGCACAGCACAGACTTGCAAATAAGTTCTGCAGAGCGTCACTACTATCTAAATCTATTTTTGTAAATTGTTTTGATTTTAAACCACTCTGCCCTGGCTTGGAGTTGAAACAGGCTATTTTTTTCTCTTAAATTATCAAGTGTGGCTTGGAGCTGTCATGCTGCTGCTGTATCTCACTGCCTAGGGCAACGCTATAGACAAAAAACATGAGTAGTGTTAGTGATAGATGTTGGCACGAGCCAGACCAGTTATCGAGCTTTACGATCTCATTGGCTTGGATTAACTAGTATTTTTTCATGGAGTGAATAAATTACCATGTTTAGTTCTGTGTGCTTGTCCCCCTAGTGCTGAAGCCCATAAATTGTGTGCAGACACACAGATGCCAAGATCTCTATGCTGGGTCCCACGCTGACCCTGCCCTTGTGTTGTGGGCCAAGGACTGCCTGGGGGATCTCTACTGGCACCAGCTCTCAGGCCCCATCCTGCTTCCAGCCCGTCATCGTTGCTAGGGAAGGACCCATGCACAAGGTATGCCATGGGGTCGTTCCCAGGCTCTTGCATCTTGCTGCAAGGAGAAGCTGTCCCCAGCTGTAGATCAGGGTGTGAGGTTCAGACACCTCTCAGCACTAGCCTCTGAGGTGCTGATTTCGGTCCAGTCTGGGGACTGAGGTCAGAGGGAACAGAGCGTTCCCTTCCCAGTCCCAAAGTCCCAGGACCTGTGGCTCAGCAGCAGTAGCATACTCCCCTCCCCAGTCCCAGCATGGCTGGCACTGCCCCTCTCCCAGGCTAAACCAGCCTCTCCTGCTTTCCTGGTGGGAAGGGTTTACAAATCCACTGCCCATCCCTCCCGGGGCGGGAGGGCTTGTGTGCTCTTAGCCTGGCTCGTCTTGCATGGAGAAGATGGCTGGGTCCCGCTTCATCGCCTCTTGTATCTTGGTCTGTCTGCTCTTGCTCCACCACGGCTTGGGCCCGGGGATTGGGATGGACGTGGATTAAAGAAAAGCTTGGCCACAGTTGCTGTGTATGTCCAACTGGGTGTGGCGAGGGGGTTCCTGCAAACTGGGGGTGCCCGTGGGGATGCCTGCGTTGGCGTGAGGTTGGTCTAGGATTTGCTTCTTCTAACCTTTCCTTTTACAAAGGCTGAGCCCTGCTCCTGGCCTGGCTGCCTGCCTTCCCTCCTGCCCGGGTGGGAAGGAGGGCTGTGGCAGCATCTCGCACAAAAGCATCTGGCTCTATTGTGCCTTGCCAAGGCCGTTCTGCTGCAGCAGCGCAAGAGGGGGCTGGCAGCACACGCTGTGCTGCGCCGCGGGACTGGACCCCCTGCCTGCCCAGCCACCAGCCCCTAGAGCCCGG